GGACCAGCTGGTTTTCAGAATGCTGATGTGGAGTCAGAGAGTGTCTCCCATTGGCAGTCTGCACTCTGGGAGCCTTCCTAGGTGCTTCTGGGGAGATTCTGGCATGCGTGCCATTGACTTAGATGCTGGGGTCCAGTCAGCTGTCTTGGCATTGGGTTTTCAGTAACAGGGCCTCTCTAGAGAGCCCAGGTGGTGACCAGTGATGGGAGGGGCTGTGGAGGAGGGAGGTAGCTGATGGATGGTCCCGCACAATGAGGTGGTGAGCCCTAGGATACACACCATGAGAACATCCTCAACAATAACTGACAGGGACTAGAAGATCCTAAGAGGGGCTAGCCCTGGGGCTGGACACCCACAATGCTAGCTTTGTTTACCTACCTTATGTCTATAGCTGGGTAAGACAGTATCACACGCTTATAATGCCAGCACCTGGGTAGGGAGTTAGGAGTTCAAGGTTATCCTCAGGTACAAAGTGAGCAACAGGTCAAAAAAACTAAAACCAACCAAACAAATATCAACACCCTGCTCCCCAAATATCTCCTTCATGTGCTGCTTGGAGCAACCAGTGGTCCAGAAGGAGGCTTTCTGTAGCAGGAGGGAAAAGAACCAAGACCCTAGATAGTCTGGGTCTGAGCCCTGAGTTCCCAGCTTGCTAACAATAATCTCAAAACCCTTCTCCCCTTTTTGGTGCCAAGGATGGAGCCTTGAGCTTGCTAAGAAAGCACTTTACTGCTGAGCTAGAGTCTCAGCCCCTTTAGCAATTTAGTTGCAGAGGTCTTGCCTTGTTCCCCAGGCTGGCCTTGAACTCACTGTCTAACCCATTGTCCTGATTACCTGGAACTGCGGGTGTGTACCACTCTACCCAGCATAAGGATATCTCTAGTCCTCCTGTGGACCTCAGTTTCCTCACCTGCAAAATGGAGCAATGCCTATTTTTAAGTTCTGGGAGTCTTGTGGGTGGATGTAGGGAAAGCACCTAACATGGCTTGGCTTGCAAGGACAGCTAGTACCAGATAAGGTACAGACCCCAGAAAAGTTAGGTCCCAGCTGTGCCCACCCCCTTCCCCTTCCCGAGCTGCTCAGCTTGGGCCAGATCCAGGATCTGGAAGGTGGCAGTCTCCAGGCTCCTGCGATGCCTTCTCCCTTCCCCATCCCCCAGGCTTTTTAATGAGTTTAGTATTTTCATCAAATCATTCTTCCTACAACACAGGGCTGGGGGAGGCTAAAAATAGCTCCCCAAGTCACATGACGGCTCCAAATGCGGAGGCTCCCAGCAAAGGTACAAGTGCGACGCCCTGTTTCCTAGGAAATGAGAGTCATTGCGGTGCCTGGGCTGCTGCTGAAACCAAAGCAGCCAGGGCCGATCAGAAGGCGCATTGTTTCCTGCGACAGCCCTGCTGTGACAGGCGCAGGGTGAGGGGAGGGAGGGAGGGCAGGCCACCACCTCAGAGTTGGCAGATCCACAGTCTGGTGCCCTGCGGTCCAGAAGCTACTGCTTCCCTTCAGAAGTGAGGGGTCAGAAAGGTGAGGGTTATGTCCTCCTTAAATGCTCTGACCCTGTCCCTCCCTTCTCCCAGGAGCAAGCAGGACAGTGCTCACCTGCACTCCTTGCAAAAATTTCTATGATTTCATGATTCACGGATGAATTTAATACACTGACAGACATGCTCCACCCCAGCTGACCCAGGACCCGCCCACCCTCCAGATTCAAAGGTGACTCCCTGTCACCTACAGAGCTGGTTCTCACAGACAAGCTGCATCCCAGCCCCACAGAGTCTCATCTAGGAGGCCCAGGCTCCTAGATGAGAGAATTTGCATCTCTAGGCTGTTGCCATGTGATTCTGAGCTCCTGGGAGGAGAATGAGACTCTCAGTGCCGTCCACCATCTTTCTCTGGACCCCTTTCTTCCTCTCCTTCATCCTTCCTTCCAGCAACTGTGGTTTGCTTGGAGTTCTTCATATCCTGGCCCTGCATACTTCCAGGCCTCTGACCTTGCTCTGGCTCTCACTGTCTGGACTGTTCTGTCTCCAGTGCCCCACTTGGCTTGCTCCTACTCTCCCCAATCCCTCCTCAGAGGTACTTTGCTCTTCAGTTTTTTTTTTATGCTAAGTGCTGTCGGTGCCCCAGTTCCACAGGTAAGGAAACTGACACTTGAGGGAAAGTCACCCCTATGACATGGGTTGGATTTTAAGGTGGCTTGGATTTCAACCCCCCTTTTTGACTACCTCAGTAGGCTTTTTCTGAAGTTTCATCCACCTCAGCACTTCCCAGCTCCCTGCAGAACAGTGCTGTGTTAAGGGGTGTGTTGTTTTGTGTAGGCTCTCCGTGGCTTAAAGGCACAGACTTTGTTCAAGTCATCACAGCACCCCACGTATTGGAACCAGGGTTTGCCATTAGGAAGTGCTCAATAGACATCCGATTTCCGTCTAATTGACCCAATCGTGACTGTGCAGATACTAATTGAAAGGATAAATGAATGGCTGCTGCCAGGGCACTGTCAAGCGAACACGTGGACATGGGTACCCAACAACAAGTGGACAAACCCTAAATTCCCCACACACGCTGGCTGGCTGAGTTGATGAGCTGACAGTTATTATTGGTACCTGTTTCCTGCATACATTAACACATTTGTGAATGGCCTGAGTAAGTTCTCATGAAGTGTGGATTACCCAAGTGGGTAGCTAGAGAGAGAAGGGAGTGGGTGGGCTGGAGGCAAGTGAGGTGGGGGAGGAGGGCGAGTAGATAAATACACCAGGAAATGGAGGTGTAGGTACAGCTGAGGTGGGGGCGGGTGGGTGGATGGGGGTAAGGGAGATGGGGAGATAGATGGGTGGGTTAACAGCTTACGAGATGGAGACTGTGGGGATGGGGACTTTCTAGACAATGATTCTCAACCTCCCTGATGCTGCTACCCTTTAATATAGTTCCTCGTGCTATGGTGACCCCCAACCTTTAAATTATTTTCATTACTACTTCATAACTAAGTTTGCTGCTGTTATTAATTGTAATGTAAATATTTTTTTTAGAGATGGAGGATTTGTCCAGGGGGTCTTGGCCCACAGGGTTTAGATGGTTAGCTGGATGGGGGGGGGAGGTGGGCCTACAGATGGGAGATGGGGAAGGAGTGGTAGAGAAAAGGAGGGATGGCTGGGTGGAAGGGGGATTAGTAAGCAGGCGAGTGACTAGATAGAGGGATGGAGCAGAAAAGGCAGAGGAGGAACAGATGGTTGGATGGTGGATTTTGTGTGTGAATATAGGGAGGGAAGGAGCCTGGAGAGTTGGAGAGGTCGTGCTATGTGGAAGCTAGACTTTGACATTGCCACCGTGGGACACTGTGTCATTCCTGCCAGTTAGGTGATGAGTATGTTTTCCGCAGGACCCTGGGGCAGGCGGTGTCTACAGCTGGCAGGGTAGCTGAGTGCTCTCCAGGCCACCAGCTCTGACTTTGGAAGCCAGATGGACGATGCCTCCCGAGCATCAGGAGGGGCGTGGGGCTGCTTTAAATGTCAGGATGTCACCCAGCTGCAAGGCTGGGGCTTGATGGTTGTCATGTTCCTGGAGCACTGGTTATAATGATTAATTATTTTTCCTCTCCTGACACGGCTCCTTTCGAGGGGAGCCAGGGAAATTGGCTGGAAGCCCAAGCCTGGTGCTCCACAATTGAATTCACTAACAAGCCAGAAGTAAATTAACCCTGACCCACCAGGTGTGTGAGGTGTGCGTGGAAACCTGCAGGTTGAGCTCCTAGTCCCAGCCAGGTGCTGCTTGGTTCAGAGGCCCAGCCAGGGCTACAGGACACCCACAGACTCTACAAAAGGAAGCCAAGCCCAGGAGGATGCCTGAAGATGGGGAAAAGCAGGTGTGGGTTTAGGAGTTTCTTGGACTTTGATCTGTAAGAAATGATTGATCATTTTAAAAGTACTCACTATGTGTAGAACATTCTAGAAACATTTCACTTCAATTCTCTCATGGCATCCTTTCAACAACCTTTAAAGGAAAAAAAAAATACTGCCAGGCAGCAGTGGTGCAGGTCTTTCATATCAGCACTGAGGAGGCAGAGGCAGGTGGATCTCTGAGTTCGAGGTCTGTCAGGAGCCATTTCCCCTCTAACAATCATTACAGAAACCATCACTCTAGGGAGTCTGCAGAGAACCTCACACCCATAGTTATGTTCTATTGACAAAACCTGCCCCTCACCCAATTAACTGCTAATCTTAGCGGAACCCGCCTCACATTCCAGCTATCCAGGGAACCAGGTGTGGCCACTTGTGACTTCTGGCCTGTCTGTCTGAATGTAACCGAGCTACGTGACCGGAACCACGCGGCCTGCGAGATCCCGTACCCTGCCCCTCATCCCTTACCATATATAAACTGTAACCCGTCCCTAATAAACTGAGGCCTTGACAAAGTTGCTTGGCCTCGTTCTTCTGTCTTAGCTCATTCCCTTCCAGGTAGCGCCCCTCCGAGACCCTGGAATAACTTGATTGCGGGTGGGTTACTAACCCCTAGACTGAGTAGCCCACCCAACGCAATCCACAGTGGCGCCCGAACCAGTGACTCGGAGTACGGTCAGCTATCGGACGACACGCGCAGTCCCGGGACAACAACAAGAAGAAAAATGAAGGTTCTGCGGCTGTAGTACTCGGACAGATGGCAGAACGGGAGGTAGGCGCAGGTTCACGTCGTCCCACAAGGGGTGAGACAATCACTTTCAAAGGAAGAGAAATTCATACAGGAATTTAAGCATTCACTCAGGGACAGAGGAGTAAGAGTCAAAAACAGAGATTTATGTGTTTGCTTTATGTATATGTCTTTAACTCCCTGCCACATGGAGCGAAAGCTGACAGGCAGGTTTGCTATAAAGGAGTCTAGACTCAAAAAGCTGCAGCTGCATGTAAATATGCTTCTTTTCCATTTCAAAAATCTTGCTTCTTGGTCAAAAATCTTTAGTTTGTAGGTGTAAAAGTTTATATCTAAGGTAGATTAAGTTCAGTACTGTGTTTCTGTAGAAAAAGTTTTAAGGTCAAAGATTGTGATGCATTCAGAGGATTTTTAGAATTGTTTAGGCTATCTGAGTTTTTATTTCTTTATTATAAGGTTGGGGATTGTTCTTTTGAGTTCTGTATTGTTCTTTTGAGTTCTGTGAAAAGTTTTGCTATAATTTTAATGAACATTACATAAAGTCTGTATGTGAGTTCTGTGAGAAATGTTGCTATAATTTTTAATGGACATTTACACTGAATCCGTAGACTGCTTTCAGTGAAATTGTCATTTTTGCTGTGTTTCTTCTGCTTTCGCAAGAAAGTAGGGGATCTTTCAAGATTTAAAATTCTTATCCGACAATTTTCGTTTGTACGGCCCGCTCTTGGGTGGGAATCATAATGTTTCAGCTTGAGGTTCTTTCCTGCTGCCAGGTGTTGCTTCAGGCCTCTCACTAAATTTATCAAGGGCCAGAGTTATACTCTTAGCAAGTGATAATGGTTAAAAGTAAAAAACATTTCCGCCTTCACAGGCAGAGATGACGGGACCCAAAAACTTTTGTCCTGCTTGCTTAAAGTCACTCCTAGATATTTTGTGGTATTCATGGATATTTAAAAGGATGATGTCTCATTTATCCTAGGTGTAAAAGAGATACCTTTGGGTTATTTTTAGATTCTGGCTATGATAAAGTTCTGCTCTGGGCATGGCAGAGCACGTGTCCTTGTGGTATGGTTAAACTTTGTATTTAGGCCCAAAAGGGGGTACTGCTAAGTTTTGAGGTAGATATCTGCCTAATTTTACATAATGGAGGTCCCTCAATGCTGGGGAGACTCTCACTCAGGTCTTGGGAGGGCGCAGCCCCCCCCTCATGGCTCGCCAAAGACCATCCTTGCTGAGGTTGCTTGCACGTGGCCTTAGTTGGTGGGGGAGGAGTTCAACCCCGAGTGACCAGGAAAAAGAATTTTTGTGAAGAGACCACAGGCCAGTGGTCCAGAAGGGTCATAAAAAAATTTAAAAACCTACGGAAGGTCACGAGGGCGCGGCTCCCTGCCTCTCGGGACCACTCCCAAGGTCATAATCAGCTAGTTCCTAAAACAGTACTGTGATAATTGCAGCTGGAAAACTAGTTTTTCAGGATTGCAGTCTGGCTTTGTTGCTGAACAGGCTAATCCTAGATTTTTGATTCTCCTCTTCCTGCTGGGGGGGCTGGAGAGATGGCTCAGAGGTTAAGAGCGTTGCCTGCTCTTCCAAAGGTCCTGAGTTCAATTCCTGGCGGCCACGTGGTGGCTCACAACCATCTGGAATGAGGTCTGGTGCCCTCACAGGCTAGTCCTGGATTTTTGATTTTTCTCTTCCTGCTGGGAGAGTCTGGATTTGTCCAGGTTTTTCAATGCTGTGTGTGATTCAGGGATGGCTGTGCCAGTATGTACTTCCAACACTGCTCCCAGCGCCGCAGCTGCCGCCACGGGCTGCAGCTCACTTCCAGCGAGTTTTTTTCCTACCCACATTTTCTTAAGCATAGATTGTTAACAATAATTTTTAATCTTGGTCATTTTTACAAGGATAAGGTAAATCTCAGAGTTTTGATTTGCCTTTCTCTGACGGCTAAAGGATGTTATATTCAAACATTTTTTAGGTGTCTCTCAGTCATTTTTAAGTACGTTTGTTAAGAGTTTTTCAGTTTAGGTCTATAACAAATATTTTTATTGGATTAAATTTTTAATAACTAATTTCCTGAGTTCTTCACATATTTTTGGAATGGATTTATGATAAATAAAGATCTTTTCCCACTCTAGCCTTGTTATACAAAAGGTTATCAATTCAGGAGATCTAATTTATGGTTTCTCACAATGTTTGTGCCACTGAGGCTGTGTTTACGATGTGGCAAGGTGTGCTTCAAAAAATTTTTTCTCTGTAAGTTTCAACAAAAATTTTTATATGCTGAAGCCTTTGGCTCATTTGGGCTTAAATTTTGTTCATGAAGATGGATATAGATCTATTTTCATTCTTCTACATGTTGGTGTCTAATGAGACCAGCATTACTAGTTAAAAAATGCTTCATTTTTCCATTTTCCTATCTGCAAGGCAGACTTACAACTTAAGAGGAGGATAGCTTACAAACTTTTGGATGTCCAATGGTTAAAGCCCTACTTATAATGTTCTTATGAGAGATATTGAGCTGCTAGGTAAAATTCTTACAAAAAACAGTTTCCAATAGAGAGCTTAAAACAAGTTGCCTAGCAGGTACTCAAACAGGTAAAGTATACAATAATCAACAAATACAGTATATTAATTATAATTCAGCTATGGCAAATATGTATATTAAATGTAAAACTTATTCTACAACAGTTTTATAAAAAATGCTGTTTATGGCTAAACCTTCTCAATTTTGCTAGTTAAGATATTAAACTCTTAATTTAAAACAGTAGCCTGTCTGGTACAAAAGGACAGGATAACATCTGGAAAATGGTATAATAAAATATTGACTATGATCAATGTTTCTTATACTAAATAATAGATTCATTGATAATTTTAAGATTGATTCCTGGACAATTGCCTTTGCTCAATTCAAAGGCCAAAAACGATGATCTTTTCCCAGATCATTGCTACAATTCACACACCTGTATTTTGCTAATGTTATAGCAAAAAATCTCTTAAAGGATTTTATGCTAAAATTTTACAAATGGCTCTTCCAATGGAGGAACTGCATATATGGCTAATAAAAAAAAATTGTGGAGCATGTCAAGGCTCTTTGAAAGCAGCTTATAGAAGTTGCAAACAGATCCAGATGCAAACGGATCAGACATGATAACACCAAGCAGACCTTTGCTAAGGCAAGGTGAAAAAGCCCTTGCAATACATTATGAAAAAACCCGACCTATATATATTTGGGGTCGAGGATGTGTTTATGCTTTTTTCACAGAAAGAAAAAATCCGGACCTGAGTGGAGGCTGCAGACATCCCACAGAGGACTTCCAGAGTTCCTGCGGAGAGGTCCTTGGTCGGGCCTTCCCTGCCCCCAAGGAGAAGAGTGCCTGATAACAGAACCTGCTACACCACTCTGCAGGGTGTCATCCTGCCTCCAGAGTCCAGGGAGACCCGCCTGAGATAAGTGCCAGGATGTGCTTCAGATAGCTGAATCCAGCTCACCTCACCCAGGAATCCCACCTGCCCTGAAGTACAAATGCTGAACTGCCTCTACAGTTTGAACTCTGGTTTGCTTTGAAGCTAAGATACAGACTAAACATCAGACTGCTTTAATCCTTGGGACACAGAACTCATTTTAATTAAAATATTAACGCCTCTTCACTTAAGAAGGGGGAAGATTGGGGTTCCTGTCACTGTTGCTCAGAGACTGGAACTGGTGGTATTTGATAACAACAATGTATGTCATTGTACTCTTACTGAAATTGATCTAATGATATTTGTAACTGCTTATAGAGGCTGGAAAAGGTTTGACACATGCTGTAAAATGTTTGGGTTTAGTGCATATGTTAAAAATTTTAGATATAGATCCCTTTACACTGCACTAATTTTTGGCAAACAGCACTCATAATTTTAATGTGGAGTAGGCATTTAGGAAGGAGGATACCTTAGGCCAGACTAAAAGGTGAATACTGGGTTTGGAAAGAGCCCTTTCTTCTTGTCTGGAAGATGGAGTTATTGGTGCCCAAAATTATATCATTATATCTTTTGTTTGAGGAGCTCCTCACAGTTTTTCATTAATGATAGACTCAGGCGCCCAATGACGGGAGTTAGTGTGGATCCTCACCTGAATAGCACACCATACAGAGGCTGTAAAGGCCGGCTCAACATGGCATGGTGCCAGGTACGAGGAAAGCTCTCCACACAGCCTAAGACAGGATGCCCTGTGGTCTGCTTACTTTAACTCTTGCTAGATACCTTTTATTTGAGAAGCTCCAAGGAACTAATGCTAATCATAAGGCACCCCTCTGTTCCCATGAGAGGTAAATTGCTTCACCATTCGAGAGGAGGGTTTCTACTTGTCCCAGTCCCTTCTCTTTTAAATCTGACACCAGGGTTGACTCTGACTTAGTGCCCTCCACTTAATAACTGTTTGCCTTTATATAAGAGAGGGGGAATATGTCAGGAGCCATTTCCCCCCTAACAATCATTACAGAGACCATCACTCTAGGGAGTCTGCAGAGAACCTCACACCCATAGTTATGTTCTATTGACAAAACCTGCCCCTCACCCAATTAACTGCTAATCTTAGCGGAACCCGCCTCACATTCCAGCTATCCAGGGAACCAGGTGTGGCCACTTGTGACTTCTGGCCTGTCTGTCTGAATGTAACCGAGCTACGTGACCGGAACCACGCGGCCTGCGAGATCCCGTACCCTGCCCCTCATCCCTTACCATATATAAACTGTAACCCGTCCCTAATAAACTGAGGCCTTGACAAAGTTGCTTGGCCTCGTTCTTCTGTCTTAGCTCACTCCCTTCCAGGTAGCGCCCCTCCGAGACCCTGGAGTAACTTGATTGCGGGTGGGTTACTAACCCCTAGACTGAGTAGCCCACCCAACGCAATCCACAGTGGCGCCCGAACCAGTGACTCGGAGTACGGTCAGCTATCGGACGACACGCGCAGTCCCGGGACAACAACAAGAAGAAAAATGAAGGTTCTGCGGCTGTAGTACTCGGACAGATGGCAGAACGGGAGGTAGGCGCAGGTTCACGTCGTCCCACAAGGGGTGAGACAATCACTTTCAAAGGAAGAGAAATTCATACAGGAATTTAAGCATTCACTCAGGGACAGAGGAGTAAGAGTCAAAAACAGAGATTTATGTGTTTGCTTTATGTATATGTCTTTAACTCCCTGCCGCATGGAGCAAAAGCTGACAGGCAGGTTTGCTATAAAGGAGTCTAGACTCAAAAAGCTGCAGCTGCATGTAAATATGCTTCTTTTCCATTTCAAAAATCTTGCTTCTTGGTCAAAAATCTTTAGTTTGTAGGTGTAAAAGTTTATATCTAAGGTAGATTAAGTTCAGTACTGTGTTTCTGTAGAAAAAGTTTTAAGGTCAAAGATTGTGATGCATTCAGAGGATTTTTAGAATTGTTTAGGCTATCCTGAGTTTTTATTTCTTTTGTATAAGGTTGGGGATTGTTCTTTTGAGTTCTATATTGTTCTTTTGAGTTCTGTAAAAAGTTTTGCTATAATTTTAATGAACATTTACATAAAATCTGTATGTGAGTTCTGTGAGAAATGTTGCTATAATTTTTAATGGACATTTACACTGAATCCGTAAACTGCTTTCAGTGAAATTGTCATTTTTGCTGTGTTTCTTCTGCTTTCGCAAGAAAGTAGGGGATCTTTCAAGATTTAAAATTCTTATCCGACAAGTTTTTTCGTTTGTACGGCCCGCTCTTGGGTGGGAGTCGTAATGTTTCAGCTTGAGGTTCTTTCCTGCTGCCAGGTGTTGCTTCAGGCCTCTCACTAAATTTATCAAGGGCCAGAGTTATACTCTTAGCAAGTGATAATGGTTAAAAGTAAAAAACATTTCGGCCTTCACAGGCAGAGATGACGGGACCAAAAACTTCTGTCCTGCTTGCTTGGAGTTGCTCCGGGATGTTTTGTGGTATTCATGGATATTTTAAAAGGATGATGTCTCATTTATCCTAGGTGTAAAAGAGATACCTTTGGGTTATTTTTAGATTCTGGCTATGATAAAGTTCTGCTCTGGGCATGGCAGAGCACGTGTCCTTGTGGTATGGTTAAACAACTTTGTATTTAGGCCCAAAAGGGGTACTGCTAAGTTTTGAGGTAGATATCTGCCTAATTTTACATAATGGAGGTCCCTCACTGCTGGGGAGACTCTCACTCAGGTCTTGGGAGGGCGCGGCCCCCCCATGGCTCGCCAAAGACCGTCCTTGCTGAGGTCGCGCACACGTGGCCTTGGTTGGTGGGGGAGGAGTTCGACCCCTAGTGATGGGGGAAAAAGAATTTTTGAGGAAAGAGACCACAGCGCAGTGGTCCAGGTCGCAGGGGCGCGTCTCCCTGCCTCTCGGGACCACTCCCAGGGTCATAATCAGCTAGTTCCAGTTAGTACCTGCAGGGGAAAACTCTGTTTCTCAAGACGTGGTCTGGCTTTCTCGATTGCAGTTTCTCGGGATTGCTATCAGGATTGCAGTCTTCAGTCAGTTCCTGGTGCAGGGTGGCTGAACAGGCTAACCCTAGATTTTTGATTCTCCTCTTCCTGCTGGAGGGGCTGGAGAGATGGCTCAGAGGTTAAGGACACTGACTGTTCTTCCAAAGGCCCTGAGTTCAATTCCTGGCGGCCACGTGGTGGCTCACAACCATCTGGAGTGAGGTCTGGTGCCCTCACAAGGCTAGTCCTAGATTTTTGATTTTTCTCTTCTTGCTGGGAGAGTCTGGATTTATTCAGGTTTTTCAGTGCTGTATGTGATTCAGGGATGGCTGTGCAGTATGTACTTCCAACACCAGTCACCGCTCCCAGCGGTCTGCAGCTCACTTCCAGCGAGTTTTTTTCCTACCCACATTTTCTTAAGCATAGGTTGTTAACAATAATTTTTAATCTTGGTCATTTTTACAAGGATAAGGTAAAATCTCAGAGTTTTGATTTACATTTCTCTGACAGTTAAAGGATGTTATATTCAAACATTTTAGGTGTCTCTCAGTCATTTTGGGGTTCATTTGTTGAGAGTTTTTCAGTTTAGGTCTATAACAAATATTTTTATTGAATTAAATTTTTAAATAACTAATTTCTTGAGTTCTTCATATATTTTTAAATGGATTTATGATAGATAAAGATCTTTTCCCACTCTATAGCCTTGTTATACAAAAGGTTCTCAATTCAGGAGATCTAATTTATGGTTTCTCACAATGTTTGTGCCACTGAGGCTGTGTTTACGATGTGGCAAGGTGTACTTCAAAAAATTTTTCTCTATAAGTTTCAACAAAATTTTTATATGCTGAAGCCTTTGGCTCATTTGGGCTTAAATTTTGTTCATGGAGATGGATATAGATCTATTTTCATTCTTCTACATGTTGGTGTCTAATGAGACCAGCATTACTAGTTAAAAAATGTTTCGTTTTTCCATTTTCCTATCTGCAAGGCAGACTTGGAACTTAAGAGGAGGATAGCTTACAAACTTTTAATTAGATATTCAATGATTAAAGCCCTACTTATAATATTCTTATGGGAGACCTTGAGCTGCTAGGTAAAATTCTTACAAAAAACAGTTTTCAATAGAAGCCTTAAACGGGCTGCCTAACAGGTACTCAAACAGATAAAGTATAAATCAACAGGTAAAGTATACAATAATCAACAAATACAGTATATTAATTATAATTCAGCTATGGCAAGAATATTTATATTAAGTAAAACTTATTCTACAACAGTTTTATAAAAAATGCTGTTTATGACTAAACCTTTCCAGTTTTGCCAGTTAATATTAAACTCTTAATTTAGAACAGTAGCCTGTCTGATACAAAAGGACAGGATAACATCTAGAAAAAAATGGTTAGATAGAATATTGACTATAATCAATGTTTCCTAAACAATAGATTCATTGATAATTTTAAGATTGATTCCTGGACAATTGCCTTTGCTCAATTCAAGGCCAAAAACGATGATCTTTTCCCAGATCATTGCCTGTATTTTGCTAATGTTATGGCAAAAAATCCCTTAAAGGATTTTATGCTAAAATTTTACAAATGGCTCTTCCAATGGAGGAACTGCATATATGGTTAATGGTAGTAATAATAATAATAATAATAAAAATTATTATGGAGCATAACAAGACTCCTTGAAAGCAGCTCATAGAAGTTGCAAGCAGATCCTGATGCAAACGGATCTGGCCTGATAACACCAAGCTGACCTTTGCTAAGGCAAGGTGGAAAAGCCCTTGCAATGCATTATGAAAAAACCCGACCTATATATATTTGGGGTCGAGGATGTGTTTATGTTTTTTCACAGAAAGAAAAAATCTGGACCTGAGTCGTGGCTGCAGACATCCCACAGAGGAGTTCCAGAGATGATTGCAGAAAGGTCCTTGGTCCGGCCTTCCCTGCCCCCAAGGAGAAGAGTGCCTGATAACAGAACCTGCTACACCACTCTGCAGGGTGTCATCCTGTCTCCAGAGTCCAGCCTGAGATAAGTGCCAGGATGTGCTTCAGATAGCTGAATCCAGCTCACCTCACCCAGGAATTCCACCTGCCCTGAAGTACAAATGCTGAACTGCCTCTACAGTTTGAACTCTGGTTTGCTTTGAAGCTAAGATGCAGACAAAACATCAGACTGCTTTAATTCTTGGGACACAAAACTCATTTTAAATTAAAATATTAACGCCTCTTCACTTAAGAAGGGGGAAGATTGGGGTTCCTGTCACTGTTGCTCAGAGACTGGAACTGGTGGTATTTAGTAACAACAATGTATGTCATTGTACTCTTACTGCAATTGATCTAATGATATTTGTAACTGCTTTTATAGATGTTGGGAAAGGTTTGACACATGCTGTGAAATGTTTGGGTTTAGTGCATATGTTAAAAATTCTAGATTTAGATCCCTTTACACTGCACTAATTTTTGGCAAACAGCACTCATAATTTTAATGTGGAGTAGGCATTTAGGAAGGAGGATACCTTAGGCCAGACTAAAAGGTGAATACTGGGTTTGGAAAGAGCCCTTCCTTCTTGTCTAAAAATGGAGCTATTGGTGCCCAAAATTATATCATTATATCTTTTGTTTGAGGAGCTCCTCACAGTTTTTCATTAATGATAGACTCAGGCACCCAATGACGGGAGTTAGTGTGGATCCTCACCTGAATAGCACACCATACAGAGGCTGTAAAGGCCGGCTCAACATGGCATGGTGCCAGGTACGAGGAAAGCTCTCCACACAGCCTAAGACAGGATGCCCTGTGGTCTGCTTACTTTAATTCTTGCTAGATACCTTTTATTTGAGAAGCTCCAAGGAACTAATGCTAATCATAAGGCACCCCTCTGTTCCCATGAGAGGTAAAATTGCTTCACCATTCGAGAGGAGGGTTTCTACTTGTCCCAGTCCCTTCTCTTTTAAATCTGACACCAGGGTTGACTCTGACTTAGTGCCCTCCACTTAATAACTGTTTGCCTTTATATAAGAGAGGGGGAATATGTCAGGAGCCATTTCCCCCCTAACAATCATTACAGAGACCATCACTCTAGGGAGTCTGCAGAGAACCTCACACCCATAGTTATGTTCTATTGACAAAACCTGCCCCTCACCCAATTAACTGCTAATCTTAGCGGAACCCGCCTCACATTCCAGCTATCCAGGGAACCAGGTGTGGCCACTTGTGACTTCTGGCCTGTCTGTCTGAATGTAACCGAGCTACGTGACCGGAACCACGCGGCCTGCGAGATCCTGTACCCTGCCCCTCATCCCTTACCATATATAAACTGTAACCCGTCCCTAATAAACTGAGGCCTTGACAAAGTTGCTTGGCCTCGTTTTTCTGTCTTAGCTCACTCCCTTCCAGGTAGCGCCCCTCCGAGACCCTGGAATAACTTGATTGCGGGTGGGTTACTAACCCCTAGACTGAGTAGCCCACCCAACGCAATCCACAGAGGTCTACAAAGTGAGTACCAGGACAGCTAGGGCAACACAGAGAAACCATATCTTGAAAAAAAAAATGTGTGTGTATAATACATACATATTGTTATTAGAGTATGTGTATGGCTCTGGACCGCTGCAGGCGTGTGGCAATCAGAGGACACTTTTTGAGCCTTCTCTCCTCTCACTCTGGATTCCAGGGATTGAACTTGCGGCATCACGCTTGCTGGCAGTTGCCTTTACCCAGTGAGCCGTCTCACTGGCCTGCAATGGCCTTCTGAGGCAGATTACTGCTATTTTTGGCAGATGACACTGAGGGACAGAAGTTGTTGGAGACATTGTAAACCATGTCCGTGATTAAGTGCTGACATGTGACCCCTGAGACCAGATTAGAATGGAGACAAAGCTTCCACCTGACTCGGGCTGTCTTGTGGTATGTCTTTCAGAGTCCTGGCAGGCAGGAGTCAGGCTGTCTCCAGGTCACCATGTGTGAAAGCCACCGGGAGAGAGCAAGTGCTCCGGGAGCCAGAACTAGCTCAGCAGTTAGCCACGGTGAGCTGCTGCTGTCCCCAGCCCCTTGCCTGCTAAGACAGCTTGAATGACTCTGAGGGAGAATGACCCAGCTGAGGCCAGCCGGCCCCCAAGAGCTCCAGTGACAATAATAGAGAATGGCTCCTGCTAAGCAATGAGGCTTTGTTTGTCTATGTCAGGAACAATGGTGCAATCAGTAGCCTTGGATTCAGCAGGGAGAATGGAGCCCGGGCTGGGAGCCCTGCCCTCACCATCCTGCTCACCGAATCTTCCCGCCCAAGGACCAGCCCTGTGTTAGATTCCACCTGTTGGGTTTTGATTTATTGATTTATCAAGCAATCCTGTTTTGGGCTCAGGACATAGTGAGGTCACCGTCTTCTCTGGTTTATACATACCCATGCTGTGCAGTGATTGAAGACCTGATTTTCAATCTGCCCTGTTGTATGACAAAATTATCCCTGGGGAGATGAAACACGTACTCACCCCAAATAGAGAACCGATGATAGACCCAAGTCCAGATAACTACCAAAGTCCAACTTGATGAGCCAATGAGTTTTATTGGGGTTACTTACAGGAACAGAAATGACTCAAGGCCTACCACCCAGTGCAGGTGACAGTTCACAAAGCTAAGAACCTAGAGCATGGCCTGCAGGCAGCTCAACGGGTTGGAGAGTGGACTTTCCAGTTGTCTACACCTCTTTCAGGGTGCTCAGCTGGTTTCTGCTCCCTCTAAGCAGCTGATCTGGTCTGGGAGTCTTCTTTGCTTCTGGGCTCTGCTGCATGGGGAGGGGAGGGGGTGAGGGAACAGAGAGAGGGCTGGGGGTGGGGTGGGAAGACAGAGGTTGGGGAGGATAGACTCTGGGCTTTTATTAATCTTACTCCAGCAGGAAGTAGCCTAGTGAATCTGGTTCATTTCAGGGACTTCCTGAAGCTATTTTGAGTAGTTTGCCTTCCTGCTTAAGGGGCTTCCTGGAGGATGAAATGTTTTAAATCTAAAAGGAAACTGTTCCAGAACTCTGCAGTTTGGTAGGGGGGGTTGGCTGCCTGTTGCTTTTTCCTGCAAGACGGTCTCTTTCCACCATGAAATGACATAGCCCAGGGTCCCTTGCGGGAGGTAAACTGTTCTATGCTGGACTTCCCAGCTGAGAAGTGTGCTTCTGTTCTTTATAAATTTTCCAGCCTCAGGCATTCCATCGCAGCCACAGAACAACACATGAGCTAACAGCCACTGCCACTTGATCCCTGCAGCTCAGCTGGAAACCTGGGCTCCACACTAAGCCATCCTAAGGCTTCTCACAGCAGCAGAAGCTAGAGGTGGGTGTGTCCTCCTGGCTCTGCTTCCTTCCTCTGCTTCCGCACACTGGTGGGAGTCAGCACTGTTTCAATAGGTCTCCCAGCCTCAGCCTGGTCCCTTCTGTCACTTTTAAAAAGCAGCAGCCCTGCCGGGCAGTGGTGGCACACGCCTTTAATCCCAGCACTCGGGAGGCAGAGGCAGGCGGATCTCTGTGAGTTCGAGACCAGCCTGGTCTACAAGAGCTAGTTCCAGGACAGACTCAAAAATCACAAGAGAAACCCTGTCTCGAAAAACCAAAAAATAAATAAATAAATAAATAAATAAAATAAAAATAAATAATAAAAAAAAATGCAGCAGCCCAAGATTTCCCAACTAAACGGAGCTGGGGCCATTTCTTCCCCACCTCTGATCTTCCAGTAACAGCCTATTTCACTAAGCATAGAAGCAGAGCCTTTTTTGTGATGGCCAGCAGGGTCCTCAGTGCCTTGCAGCTTCACCCCACTGGTACAGACACCTTGTTCCCTGGCTGCACTACGGTCCCATTATTTCTGCTACAGCCTCCAAGCTCCTGGCGCTTCCGGAATACACCAGGTATGTCCCGCATTAGGGCTTTTCATCAGCTGATCCCTCTGGGTGTTTTGTTTTTTTTTTCTGTTGTTATCTGCATGCTCTCTGTCCCATCCCCTTCTGAGACAGAACAGCCTAGAGCTTGTGACAGTCATCCTGTCTCAGCCTTCCAGGATGCTGAGGTTTACAGGTATGAGTCAGAAGCCCTGGCTCTCATTTCACCTCCTTACCTTTTATTTTATTTTTTTTCTGGCTGTAGTTCATAGGATGCCCATTCTCATTGAGTCCTGTCCTCACTACTTATTGAAAATGACATCAGCTCACCCCTCCCGCCCCTGTGTGCTATGGACTTCCTTTTACATTTTCCTTCATAGCAATAACTGTGCAGTCCAACCCTGCACTCCCCTTGTCCATCAAAACCAAAACAAACAAACAACACTCCCCCAAGACAACCATCTATTATTTGTCTCTTGTGCTTACTGGGTTGTGTGCTCCTCTGTTTGTTTGTTTGTTTATTTAGTTTCTTGAGACAGGTTTTCTCTCTAGCTTTGGAGCCTGTCCTGGAACTAGCTCTTGTAGCCCAGGCTGGCCTTGAACTCACAGAGATCCGCCTGCCTCTGCCTCCCAAGTGCTGGGATTAAAGGTTTACGCCACCACCACCACCCAGCTGGGTTGTATGCTTTTCAGAGGACGGCTTTGGGCTCTGGTTCCCTCCTTTTACCATGTCAGTTCCAGGACTCAAACTCACACTGTCAGGTTTATCAGCAA